AAATATAACCCAAAATGTGCCAGGTCTTGAGAGGTTAAGAAAATGAACATTGTGTTTGACAAGCAAATAGTGAAATCAAGATGGTTGAACTTATCATTTTAATAATAATGTATAATTTGTAAAAATGTATAATTTAATAAATATATATTTTTAGTACTTTTACAGCATCATCGGTTCTGATCCTAACATTTACATATTTTATTTTGGACGTTACATATAAACTCAGGTTCATCTCAGAGAGTCGGTTGTGTTTTTGTGTTTTATTTTCAAAAGTTTAATGAGAAAAAAACCAAAAGTTTATCCTTTTGCTCGTCTATGATTTTAGTGAAATGAAAACAATCTTAAACTATCAAAATTTGAAATGAGAACTTTCTAACAGCACGACTTCATAAATAGATGAGGAACAATAATAGAGAATTATAGAATATTCCTGATAACCACATTTATTTAAATTCCTACAAGCATTAATCTGGACATGAAAGATATTTACCGTCTTCACCGACATCAGCTATGCTTTCACCGTCTCGTTTGCTTTTATTTTCTTTCCCTCCTTTGCCTCCCGCTGCACCTTTTGCTCTCCTTGTCAACTCTCCTTCCTCCCACTCCTCTCAGGAGAGACCAAAAAGTGCCTTGGAGCGTCTGTACTCTGGGGACCCGGTCCAGCAGCAGCAGCAGAGGGGGAAGATGAGCGCCGACGAGCAGCTGGAGCGGATGAAGAGACACCAGAAGGCCCTGGTCCGCCAGCGCAAACGCACCCTGAGTCACGGAGACCGCCACGCCTCCTCGTCGTCGCGCGGCTCGACCTTGTCCTCTCGCCCGCTCTCTGCAGACCTGGGATCAGTATGTCACTAGAGCAGCGTCACATGTCACACTGTCACGCATGACGACAACCAAACCCAGAGTGCAGTAGTGATGCATGCCTTCACTCGGCGTAGTCGGTCTCTGTTCCAGACCAGTTGGTATCAAAGCAGTCAGTGATTCACTGTTTGGCTTTTTAACGCACGTTGTTCTCAGACTTTAACTGGAGACGTTTTGACTTGTGACAGTGGAGGAAAAGCACATCGGTGACTGATAATACAGATGCTGGATCAGTTTTATTTTAGTCCAAAAAAAGTCAGTATGGGGCTGCACGGTGGAGCAGTGGTTAGCACTGTTGCCTCACAGCGTCCCGGTGAGGACACCCGGGATCTTTCTGCGTGGAGTCTCCATGTTCTCCCCGTGCAGCGTGGGTTCTCTCCGGGTTCTCCGGCTTCCTCCCACAGTCCACAAACATGCTGAGGTTAATTGGTGATTGTAAATTGTCCGTAGGTGTGAATGTGAGTGTGCTTGGTTGTCTGTCTCTAAGTGTAGCCCTGTGATAGACTGGTTACCTGTCCAGGTGAACCTGCCTTCAGTCAGCTGGGATAGGCTCCGCCCCCCTGGTGAGGATTAGGTGGTGTATAGATGATGGATGGATGGTAAAGCCAGTGTGATGCTGGACACTGGGAGCCCCGGGTTGATGACCAGAAGGCCATCGTTATGTTTATCATTTCCAGCTGTGCTTGTCCTTCTGTCACATGTTAAAACAGTTTCTGCTTCAACAGCTGCAGCACAACAGGTGTGTAAAATACAGCCGTGACTGTTCAGAAGTGTGTATTAATATGTAATCACATTTACATCACATAGGGACCTTTTTTTTTGTTGCCTGTCAAACACGTAACACACTAATGACCTCAGACGCAGACTTTCGCTCACTCCTCACATTCATTTATATCTGTAAACCTTTCCCATCGTTCCATTTCTTTATCTATCCCTTCTTTGCTGATCTAGCTCTATCTGTAGGCTGGTTTCGCTCTAACACGACACTACCATCCTGTTTTCTGCTCTGAAGGAAGTGTTTTGTGCTGTCGGACTGCATGAAGGGCTCCGTTCACCAGAGTCCCGTCGCTCCTTCTTTAGATATTAACGCCTGCTGTTTCTCGGTTCGGCGCCGCTGCTGTTTCCAGGCGGTCCGTTTGAATGCGTGAGAGAGAGAAAGTGCCTACTTATTTTCTACTGACCAAAACATTTACATACACTGAGCAACACCTGTTTAAGCTCCATCATCTCAACCTCATCACAGCATTTTTCCTCTTGCTGGACTTGTTTTGCTTTTAAACCAACATAAGGACGGCCTGAGTGTTTATGGGTCGGGTCCCACTGATCATTTCATATCAACTATGTGTGGCATGAATCTCACATCATATCATAGGTTCAATGATTTCAGTGTTTGCTCAGTGTTGTTTTTATTTTTATTGGCTAATTATTGCTAGAAGAAACCTACTTTCTTAAATGTGAATGTCTGCAAAAAATAAACGCTATTTTCTAAAGTTCTCATATTTGCCATGTTTTATTTATTTATTCTGTTTTAATGTGTGAGACGTGAACGTGTCGCCGGTCTGAGTAAAGCGCTCTCCTGTCCGTACCTGTGACGGCGGGCTGTCCTCTGTAGTGGAGAACGTTAGCATGCTGTGTTTTCAGAGCTTTCACTTTCACATGAGCATGCATACTCATCGATGCATGCAAACTTTGTTTTTTTTTCCCCCCTTTCTCCACACCTGCACACAAACACACACTGAAACACACACAGACAACTAGTGTGCCGTACGAGTGAAACGAGTCGGTTTCAGACAACCTGCTGTCGTTTGTTTCACGGTCTATATCTTTCCTGTCCAGTGGAAGCGAGAGCAGGACTTTGACCTGCAGTTGCTCGAGAGGGCTGTTCAGGGGGAAGAGGCTCAGGGAGTTAGGAGCGTCCAGGGGGAGGAAAGACCTCCCGAGCACAAGGAGAGGCCGCGCTCGCACTCCGACGAATGGCTGACCTTCCGCTCCATGGCCACGACGCCGCCCGCCCACGAGGTCGACCTCGAGCCGCTGGACTACGACCTGGACCTCAACAAAGAGGTGAGTTATCTTCCTCTGAGAAATGCAGCTGATGAGGGTTAGGGACGGATGAAGACAGAAATGTTATGAAGATAGAAAAGAAATGTAACTCAACCAAATAAACTTAGTCCATGTTTATCTGAAGAGATAAATAAATGGTGGACTCGAGTCAAAAAGATTGTTCCTCTGATTCAACTTGGACACGAGTAGAAATTATTAATAGCATAAAATAATAATAAATAAAATGATTTGTACGTGTGAATCATTTTTGCTCTATTTAGAAAATTAAGAAAACATCCCGAGCATGCTTGAAGGTGTATAAAAATACTGCTGCCAAGAATAATTTGATGATTATTTTCTCATCAGTAAAGCACCGCGGCTGTTTGGTGACGCGTATGCTTCCCGCCTCATTTAAAAATGTAAAATCTCGACATCTACTCGGCAAAAATGTCAACATTTTTTACATTTTTACGTCCTCTGCGTTTCATTTTGCTATCTTAAAATGTTGGCTGCACGGTGGAGCAGTGGTTAGCACCGTCACCTCACAGCTAGAAGGTCGCCGGTTTGCGTCCCGGTGAGGACACCCGGGATCTTTCTGAGTCTCCATGTTCTCCCCGTGCAGCGTGGGTTCTCTCCGGGTTCTCCGGCTTCCTCCCACAGTCCAGAAACATGCTGAGGTTAATTGGTGATTGTAAATTGTCCGTAGGTGTGAATGTGAGTGTGCTTGGTTGTCTGTCTCTAAGTGTAGCCCTGTGATAGACTGGTTACCTGTCCAGGTGAACCTGCCTTCACCCTGAGTCAGCTGGGATAGACTCTAGTGAGGACTAAGCGGTGTATAGATGACAGATGGATCTTAAAATGTGCTAAACGTATGTAAAATAATTCCCGTGAGCTCAGACCTCAGACGCCTCTGAACACCAAGTTTCCAAAATTATTTTCTTCTTTAGCAACAAACCGACATCATCACTGATGTCTTTGTACGTCGATCCACTCTTTACACAGCACGCCCGAAAAATCTACGTTTTTCTTGATCAATGTTTCTGGCAGAACATGAGAATTATTCTGGACGTTTAATGGACTCCGGTGTACAAATAACGGACAGGGCATGGGGATACTGTATAACATTTACCGGCTATGTTACCAGACGTTTCCACTTCATCTACGTCTGAGCACATTTCCCACACCTCCATCTAATAACGGGAACACAGACAACGATTTTGAATTCATTTTTCAACACGGCTTGTGATTGACAGACTGACTCCACGATAATGTAACACAACAGGCCGGTAACAGGTCATATTCAGTAAAGAGAGACGTCCTATTGAGCTTGTTGCTGCAGGTATTCGTGCTCTTAATGTTCTAAATCCTGTTCAGGCTCAAACGTGTCGCCATTTCCAATCAAGAATGAGAAATTATGACGCTTCAAAAGTGTACAGATTATACACCAGCAAGAGGACGAGGTGGTGCTTACAAGCAGGCTTCCATAAACTGGCCAATCAGGAAAAAGTGGTCTTTTAGGGAGGGGGGGCCTCGGAGATCCCAGGGACTAATGTGGCCAGAGACTCAGCCGGGGGGGCAGCACAACATGACGTATACGTTAAACAAGGATTTTTAGAGCTGAACATTAGCGCAATACGTCCCGTTTAATTACTGGATGTAAAGAGTCTCCCAATTCGCTGAAAGTCCGTTCTCTACGTACATGCTAGGCAGGCTTTAAGCTTCCCCATGATATTTATCTACGCTGTTAAAGTCACCCAGGATTGGCTTCCAACATAGTTATGATGCCTGCAGGTCCTAAACTTAATCTCAGAGAAATCTTTCACTTTCGGAAAATAAATATCAGCCTTCTGGTGCCAACATCATGACCAGAGTTCAAACATGCAGGATAAGGTACAACGACCAAAATACTTCTTAACGAGGAGGCTGGTAGTCGTATGAAATGGGTATATAATGAATATAGAGACTTAAACTGAGCAGTTCTTCAGTAACACCAGCAGCAGAGGAGCAAAGTCAGGTATTTCTTCTACAATAGTTTCTTGAAGCAGCGTGATTGGATTGTGAGCAGATGAGCGTCCTTCAGATATAATGTTAACGTTGGAAAGTGTTGCAGCGCTGATTGTAAATGAGCAGGACGGTGGTGAGCTGTAGGCTGGACATCGACTAAACACAACGACTGCACCGTGACGTGGGAGTGCTGCAGCTGAACACAGCAGAGCCTCTGTCCACATGTCTCATTCATTTTTGTTGGGGGGTTGCTTGATTTGTCCCTTCCTGGATCAGCAGCAGTGAATCCTGAACATCTTCTCACTCCTCCTTATCTGTATGTGTCATCAGGACTACGTCCCTGATCACTCACCAAAGCTGGAAAGGTTTTTTTTTCCCAGTAAAGTCAAACACATTCTAACACTCATGTAATTTTACTTCCTGTTCGTTTTCCAGCTATCCAAGCCTCAGAAAGTGTTGATTCCGGAGCGCTACGTGGATTCAGAGCCGGAGGAGCCGCTCAGCCCTCAGGAGGTGGAGGAGCGCCATCGAAAGGTGGAGCGCATCAAGAACATCTTGGCAAAGTCCAGGTAGGTGAAGCTGAAGCTATGTTTGAAGTCTGCTGGTGTACAACTGGGGGGTCGGTGGTTAGCACCATCGCCTCACAGCTAGAAGGTCGCCGGTTGGTGTCCCAGTGAGGACACCCGGGAGCTTTTGCATGTTGCATGTTTTGGATAGGCTCCGCCCCCCATGACCCTGGTGAGGGTTAAGGTGTAGAGATGATGGATGGATGGTGTACAGCTAGTTCTGGTGTTTCAGGAAGGCCTTGTAGTTTGTCAGACTTCCAGTTAAACCACAATAGAAGCCCTTTGTTGGAAGTCATTCACCCTCCAGGTGTGTAGGCGATACTGGGAAATATGGTGGCCTTCTTTCTGACCTCCTTGTCCAGCATGTGTCAACAGATTCCCCTCAAATCAGTCGGTGCATTTTTATTTTACCAGTTTCTGTCGGTTTAGCGTTTTCCTTTCTCTCCTGGAACAGCGTGCAGAACCTCACGCCGACAGCGTCCGTGGACAAGCCGGACGTGGGGCTGGTGGCGCTGGACTCGGCTCTGCAGGAGCAGGAGAGGATCATCACCATGTCCTACGCTCTGGCCTCGGAGGCTTCGCTCAAGAGCAAACTAGTCGCAGGTTGGTCACTTGAGATCATTTCCTGTGCATTGGAGCCCACGGTGGGCTGCTGCAGATCAGACATGCTCGGTAACTGGAGTGTAAAATAATATTCTACAGAAATAATTATTGTATCTGTCAAAAAAGAAAGCGTGCAAATACCGACAGTTGGGGTAGAATATCTGCTGGCATCAAATTGACGTCTTTTGGGTGAATGTGGGATAAAGAGAGGGAAGCAGCCTTTCAAGAAAGCTGGATTGATGAGAAGGGCGTAAGGTGCAGAGTCAAGCAATAAGGCTGTTCATTTCCTAATAACTGAACATTATTCCTTATTAGGAGCTCAGATCGTCTCTAATTGCAATCCGTGTAGGATCTTTTAGACAGAGGAGGAATCGCTTGATGAGGCCATTTTGTGTGCTGATCAATGACCCAGTCAAGCTCTGCTCTCAATCTGCATAACGCTGCTGCTGCTGCTGCTGCCGCCGCCGCTTTGAACGCAGCTCTGAACCTGCATAAAAGACGCTGCGCTCACATCTCATCTCTTTCATACTCGGCGGCAGACGGGCGAGTTAATTTTCACTGTAGCTGCGGCAGATTGTCAGCCTGCCTCGCTCACACACTCACCTATGCACACATTTATCTGTCACAGCCGCTAATGCTCAAGCTGTCAGCGTGTGTGGAGGCTTAATATGCATAGTGAAGCAAAGTCAACAATTATAACATTATTTCCAGCGCAGAGGAATGCCAGAGAATATAACTGGTGGCAACTTGTCAGCGGAGAGCGAATCAATGACTCTCTCTGCCTTTGGTGTTAAAGTGAGGTATGTTGGTGCACTTTCAAACCTCTAAATTAAAAGAAGTGTCTTTCTCACAGTATTATGCATGAGAGGCTTCAGCAGTGCTGCCAGGAAAGCAGGAATATTCGTCACTGCAATTACACGCAGTATATATATATATTTATATTTTATTAAAAAAAGGTGTCTTTGATTGTTGGATTTGTTACTAAACAGATAAATAATTTGGTCTTTTGTAATTACTTGTCAGAGATATTGAAACAAATCCCTAATTCTGTGCTGCTAAATGATCTACAACACCACCTCCCTCCGTAGCGCCTCTTCAACTATTCATTACTTTTTCTTTGAAGCTGATCAAATGTTCAAGTGATGAAAAAAAAAAAGAGAGAAAGCACAAATCACACCACTGCAAACTGATGGAGCAGGAGATGTTAACTCCAGGCATTTACCACCTTAACGACTTTTTTTATCATCAGATATCTTCAGATTGTCGGCTGATTGGGATTGTAAAGCAAAAAAAAACAAACCCTGATGATGTGAAACCGTAAAATCTCCACGGAGCCGTTATTAGTATAAACCTGGAACCTGGTGAAACAAAAGCCGGCAGAGTTCAGATGAACACGTCCTGTTTGTAGCGACGCTCGTTCAGAACCACCGCACACAGACAATTAAACGACGAGGATGTTTGTCACTGATAAATAAAAAAAAATAAAAACTTTAGTGTGACGCTACGTTTATTTTCTGTGTTATGGTCAATAATCTGATAATATTATAACGGCACTTTAAACGAGGGGGAATGTGACGAGTATTTTGCTTTGTTTCTGATATTTTATAGACAAACTAATTTACGAGCAGATTAATTAACAGGTAACATAATCACTAGAACTCTGAGCACGTCACACAAAAACATTACATCCCTGCTGTCACTGACATTTATCACAATCTTCAGAAGATCTTCATCTCTGGACACGAGTCAGAGTCGGTGATATGCGCTGAGACAATACAAGGCTTCACCCGTCAGAGGTTTGCTTTAGAGATGACGTAACGTTCAGCGTGTAAAACATAAAAACCTGCTTCTACAGGTAACACCTTTAAACTGCTTGTTTTAGTGTGAGGAGGATGCAGCCCATCGATAAACCATGTGTGCTGTGGTTCTACATATGAAAGAGTGAAAAGCAGTGAATCAGTCGGAACCAGAGAACGTTTTGTCAAACCACTGACTGAAGTGATCAGCTGATCATAACTGCTGCTGGTTAATTTTCTGTTAATGACTGAACCCTAGTTGACGTAGTTTTGGTTCTAAATGCACGACACATGTCCCTCTTTTTATATTTAAAATAAAAAAGACAATACTTGTGGACTAAACCACATGGTCTGGGTCCAGAACAGGTTAAATGAGTGATGGACCAGCTCTGGTGTCCATTCGTTTATATACGTCACCATGGTGACTGATGCTACACTAGGTTAAATATTTATCTGATTTCAATTAAAACAATGAAGAGTTCATTTGCAAAGACAGATCACTCCGTCTTCACAAACTGTCAGAAAACTCACTTTTGGTCGTTTAGCTGGTGTCCCACGTACAGGAGCTGTAGTCTCTGATGCAGCAGCCGTGGGTTCGAGTCCCGCTCATGGACCTTTGCTGCAGGTCCTTCCTCCACTTTCCTGTCTCTCCTCCGACTGTCCAATCTAATCAAGGGGAAAAAAAAACAACTTAAAAGAAAACCCATTTTTCCATCGTCTACCTGTGACAACATCAAACTTAAGTTGTCTCTGTTTTTGTCATTTCTACTGAGTCACATCCTCTCAGCTTCTGTTTAGGTGATGTCATCTCAAGCAAACAACAAAAACAATCTGAAAATCTACAAAAATGGAGTTTTGTGTTCCTGCACATGAGCTCTTCACAGACTGAACGTCTTCTTCTGTTTTTAGCCGTAACACAGATTTTAATGTGAGTCTGATGCATGATCCTCTGAACCCAACCACAGATGATTCTTTGCTTTCTAGACTTTTACAGAAACAGTCAATGACCTGTGATGTGATGTCAGACTCTGTGCTTCCTGCTCCTCTATGGGGGACGTTTGAAAGTCCTGAACTCTCTCAGGTTGACTAACAGTTAGTGTCTCTTCTCTCTCCTCCCTTTGTCCTCCCCCCTCCCTCCCTCCCCCACAGTCCCACCGCCTCCCCCTCCTCCCCCGCCACCTCCTCCTCCCCTCCCTCCTCCTCCGCCTCCCCCTCCTCTTCCTCCCGTGTCTCTGGCGCCTCCTTCTCCTCTTAACAACGGGATTCACTACACGTTTGTCTAAAGTCAAAGTAAGGCCTAGCTGCACGTTCGCCGGCTGCATGCTGCCTTGTGACTGTGGTGGAAGTCAGAGGAAGCTCCCGTTACCATCACAGCAAACATCTGCTGCTCGTCCCACTGTGATAATTGTCTGTAAATTGTTTTTTTTTTTTTTCCCTTTTCTTTTTTTTTTTGTACCACTGCCAAAATATTTATGGATGGATGAGGAAAGAAAAGGGCTCAACCGAACACGACTGTTGTGTAATTAACAAAAGAGACACCTTTTGATTTAGCACCTCCACAGTTCAGCAGTCGGCACAGCTGCATTCCTCGGCACCAATTAGCTCCCCATCTGCAGCGATAGCGCCGGAGAAAAACAAACTGTAGCTCTCGCTGTTGTTACTGTAAAGGCACAGAGAGGCCTCGTGGCGTTTTACAGCTTCATTAAAAAAAAAAAGAAAACAGCCTCCATCCATCAGACAAATATTTCAAATCGTCTGTTTCTTCTTTTTTTATTTACGTGACCTTTAGCCCTCAGGTATGAAATGAGTCGCTGGATGGAGATTAAAAAATGCTCCCGACAAACACAAATAATCAGATGTTTGTAAATGAGCAGGTACGAAATGTTCATCGGGTCACGTCTGGCCCGTCGGCAGCCTTCGTCTACCTCCAGAATCAAAAGCACGACATACCTGCTGTTCAGTCCGGCATGCTGTGAATGTCTTCTTATCTGTTCAGTGAGGAATATTTATTTTTTGCATGCTTTTCTGTGTGCATTCTGTGTGTAACTTTATTTTTTTTTAACTCCCACGTCCCATGTTCAGGACTGAGGTGGGCTTTCACCTGCAGTTGGATTGTATAAGTAAAAAAAAAAGCTGAACTAGTTTGTCTCACAGAAGCCCGCCGCTAAAGATGTTAAGGAGTGTGAGAGTTCATTCCTGCTCTACTGTGTGTACATGCAATCACATAAAGCTGTTGTTCACCCATTTATAAGCTGCATTCTTTATCTATATGTGGCAGCTATTTATCCTCACATCTACAATTATCATCCTTCATTGTCCCCATTAGTAATGTGCAGGTCTGTCCGCTCATGCTGATTAATCCTGTCGTCGTGATCATCTGGACGTTTTCTGACTTTGTCTTTCTCTCTCTCATCACTTCTCAGCTCAAGCGATTTCCGGACACTGAGGTGCTACTCCACAACCACGGATCCTTCGACAAAAAGAGGATTTTTTGTTTTTTCCCCCGTTTCATTTCTTTATATACAGCAATAGAGAAAACGGTAGTAAACATTTAACTTTGCTCTCTGAGGCTCACGCGGTTCGTTGGAATGTTTTTAGCGAGTTTCACCAGAGAGACTTTGCAACGGGAGCTGCTGTGCTTATTAACTATGGAAGTGTCTAACAAATGTTACCCTCATTATAATAATAAGAATTAAAAAAAGAACATTTTCTACAAGTTATTGCACTTTGAATTCGACACTCGATCATATTTTCATGATACGACTGAATTGCTTTTTCTTGATCTCAACTGGAAACTTCCTTTTTTTTTTTTTTTTCTTCATCAGGTACAGAATGTTACGAACAAGAGGTACAACATGCATCATGTTAATAGTATTTTTGTCGATACTCAGATAATATTCTTACACCAAACCACTTGAACTCTCATGTGTACGTACCTGTAGCACTGCCAGTCTCCTTTAGGCTTGCCAAAATGAATTTTATTTTTGCTTACATCAGGATGAAAATAACCTTTAACATATTTTTTTGTGTGACTCGGGCGACGGAGATTTATAAAGATGTGAATATTAAAGATATTAACACAGTAGCTGGTTCGTCACGTGTGTTTCTTTCTTGTTTCTGACGTTTCATTTCAGTATTTTTTCATTTACTTTAAATGTGTTTGAATGAGTTGAATACAGCACGGTGGCTCGGTGGTTAGCATCGTGGCCTCACAGCTGGAAGGTCGCCGGTTCGTGTCCCGGTGAGGACACCCGGGATCTTTTGCATGTTCTCTCCGTGCAGCGTGGGTTCTCTCCGGGTTCTCCGGCTTCCTCCCACAGTCCACAAACATGTTGAGGTTAATTGGTGATTGTAAATTGTCCGTAGGTGTGAATGTGAGTGTGCTTGGTTGTCTGTCTCTAAGTGTAGCCCTGTGATAGACTGGTTACCTGTCCAGGTGAACCTGCCTTCACCCTGAGTCATGACCCTACTGAGGACTAAGTGGTGTAGAGATGATGGATGTCGTATTCTGATAGAAGCTCCGTTACTGTTTGTCCTCCTGGACTGAAGAAGTTGCTTCTGACTCGGTTTTTACTGTCTTATAAATGAGAAGTGATGAACGCCATCAGAAGTCAAATTAAACAGAAAACAACCCACTGCAGACGTACTCGGGGTGAAACTCTCCCACAAAGACCTCCAGCCTCCTACCACGGCGCTAAACCTCCAGATGAGTGACTTCTACCTAAATGATTAAGTTCTCCCCTAAACGAGCCTTTGTTCTCGTCTTCCACAGACGCTGTTTATTGATTGTATCTTTATTCAAATCATGTACAAAGGGAAAATTACTAAATCTGCACTCTTGGCGGCTCTGCGATTCTCTTTGAACCCTCACATTGATTGCCTTGACCTATTAAACTCCCTTCTATTATTTGAGAAGGGGAACCAAACTACGGCACGCTCGCAGCTCAAAGGAGGTGAACTTTCAATACAAAAAAAAAAAAAAAAAAGAGAGAGAGGCTTCTTGAAATGTTTCTTAAGTTCAAAGCTTTTTCCATCTCAAAAGGGCATTTTTAATTCCGTGTATTTTCAACCAAGAAGGTGGATGCTAATAACTCTGGATTCTGAAGTACAGAATTCATATCTTTAAATCATGAACTGTGTCTCCAATGCAATTGTAAAAGAAACCTCTGAGAAATACACGTATTGAACTTTGGATTCAAAAGGAGAAAATAATATAGAGAATGTGTTTTTAAATAGAAAGTGCAGCTGAGCGGTTACGACCAAACGCTGCACGAATATTTATCACGCATCCCGTCGCTGATGGGATGAGCAGCCGCGGCGCCTTCGCCTTTGTGCCGCCTCCCAAGTGACATCTTTGTCTTTAATTGGGGAGTAATTACCGTCCCTCACCCGCATCGCTGTGGTTTCTGGAAACACCTGAGAGAGAAGATGCACCTCCCTGAGCATCTCCATCCTCCTCCAGGACCAGGGCCCCCGTGGAGGCTGCCGGCCCTGGTGGCTAGGAGACCAGTCACAGCCTCTGTTCTGCTTATTTTGCAATAATAATAAAAAAAAAGGATGTTTTTCCCTCCTCCTGCAAAAAAATCCACCCAGGCCCCTCCACTGAGGATAGTGGCATTTCCATGTATTGACGTTTGGCTGCTGGTTCATATACATTTGTTATTCTATGCTCTGGACTTCAAAGAGAATGAAAGAGAGGCCTATTATGCTAATTGGGTCCTGTTCTGTTAAACGCAATCAAGGCCTCCCGCATTAATCCTTTACTAAATACTCACTGGCTTCAGAAACGCTTTTTCACCAGCAGAGAGACGAGCGCTGACGTTTGCTACACGACTAAATAAAAGACAATAAATCCTAAAGAGCATCATGTCAGTGTTTGTAGGGAGCTCACAGTGATGCTGATTATGTTCAGGATTCTTCTTCTTTTTTTTTTTCTGGCCCTGCCTGAGCTTGAAAGAAAGCGAGCCTCTTGACAGCATGCTGAGGAGCGTGACCTTGCTCTCAGGTCTACATTGTTCACCACTATGCTGCACAATGCATCCGTAACACGTTCACAGGATCCGACAGCGATTCCCAGAGATACCTGCTTCAATCGCATAAATGTGATTGTTACGGGAACGTCTGAGGGTTTGACTACAGTGGAAACGCACGCCGAGGGGAAGCCAGACTGCTGCGGTCCAATTGTGCAAATACAAAACCCAGAAAGCCGATGCAATAGGTGCTTTGATTTCAAAATAGTACTTTATGCTGTTTTATCATTTTCAAGTTCCACATACGGTACATTTTTTAATATGTAAGAAATGGAATTTGTTGAATAATTGAAGAGTTGAGAATCACTGAATATTCCTGCTATAAAAAGAATAGAGGGAAGGCTGAGCCGGAGTCACTGACCTGCTCTGTGCTCACATTAAAACCACAGCTTTAAAGACACTTCATTAGTTTTTACAATTGTGTTGTCATTCGGGAAACACACACACAGAAAATAAATAAATGAAATATTAAATAACACGTTTACGGGTTTAATATATTAAAGAGCAAGAGAACAGCATAACATGAATGATTAAGTGTGAGCTGAAGGTGCTGCGCTTTGTTAAACAATGAATTCATCTCTTGTTCCTTAAGCGGAAGGCTTTTACAATACCTACAGTGAATTGGGCTTTTTGTACATAAAAGCAATTGCTTTGCAAATGAACCGAATGCCCCTGGGCCTCCTCTTTACTGCACACACACACACACACACACACACTCACACACACACTCACACACACACACACACACACACACACACACACACACACACACTCACACACACACACACACACTAAACTGAGTGAAATTTACTTCATGCAGTGGCTCCAGTGAGGAGGCTCGTAGCTTCCCGATCTGCACAACAATGTCATTATGACACATCAGCAATAAATGATGCACACATCAATAAATGCAAAGACGGACTTTTGAGGGGAAACCACGCTGCAACTTTGCTGAAACACATAAAAGCGCTGAGCTAGTGCGAGAGGAGAACTCCTTTCTACTGTTACTGTCTGTTACAGGAAGAAGGGTTTCCACACATCCAGACTCCTGAACGGACCTCAGAGTGTGTTTTATACACAGCACCATACATCACTGATCAGTATTCATGAGTTTATATCTGTGCACATGTGTGGGTTTGTGTTATTTTTGGCTCCGGCCGTGTGATGATGATGATAACTATATAATTAGAATTGGCATGTTGCACTCCTTATTCCGACATGATTAATCAGTGGTTCGCTGTTAACTTGAAAGGAAATATTAGATCCTGACTAAACTTTGATGAAATCCGGAGTTACAAGTCCAGAGATTTGGGTCAACTAATGAGAACAGAGCATCCCACACTGCAAGTCCAGGCGGGAGAGGAGTGATTTGCATGTATGCAAATAGTGTTGGACTTAATTGCAGAATCTGGCATTCGGTAACAACTGTGTCGTGGTGGCTTTGCAGATGTTTTGCAACTGGACCTTGTCAGCGGTTGTGACAGCGAGGCCGGCTGATGGCGGGTCCGGGGGTTCTCAGAGGTTCACAAAGGATTAAAAAAGATCTTATAGGAGTGCATTAACACGTCTGTCTGGAGAACACGACAACAGGAAAAGTGCCATTAAATAAAATCAGACACGAGCTCGGTGACTGTTTCCAAAGCAGCACCAACATCACCCGTATTTAATTTTAAAAAATGACAAACAAAACACAGAACGACAACCTGAAGTCACTTATTGTGCCGAGTGCCATCATCACGGTGAAGGCTGAGCTGATCTGCCCTCACCGCTCCACCTCCCCTCGTGCAAAGTCAAACGTTTCACTTGTGCACGCAGCAGCGCTTGTAAACATCTTTATAAGTGAATAAGAGTGAAGAGCAAAGGTGCTGCTGCTCATCTCAACAGCTCCAAATTCAGGAAGCTGCTCACGAGTACGTCACGGAGGTGAGTTACAATGAGCTTCATAACACATCTGGAAGATTTACTGTGATGTCAAAAAACACATGGACCAGCTATAAATGCATGATTACTAACACAGTCACATGACCTCAGATCTGTCTAACAATGCCCCACACTGGGCTATAAGTCATCATTCATTGTGTTACGCTGCTCAGGACTGAAGCGTCACATCCTGTAAAGACTCACATGATCCTTAACTGGTTTAATATCACAGTCAAAGGTTTAACGCAGAGCTTTCCAAATTCAAAATTCTTCTTCTTTGATAATTTAGATAATTGTGAATCCTCGCTGAGAATACTAATCACTGTCTTCCTAAGCATGAATCAGCTGCACACCTTTGAAACCTGCTCTGGCTGCACTGTAATCAAAGCAGCCCCCCCCCATCCTCCTCATCCTCCTCATGCTCCTCATCCTCGCTCACTGACTGAATGGCGTTCTCTAATTAACCATGCAGAACAGGAGAAGAACACATGTTAATTTAATGTAACAAAAATGTTGATTTTCATGCACTCTCCTTTTCAAATATTTATGGGCTAGACTTGAATTTCAAGATGCATCAAAGACTCACAGGGTATGCAAATGTGTCTGCCTTACCCCCCAACAAGTTGGACTGTCTTGTGCTCCCCGCGCAGGCCTCGTGCACGACCCATCCGAGCTATAAAGAGGAAGCCATTACAGTCACCTCCTGTAAAAATAGTCGACTATATTTGTGTTTTGAGAAGCGTCTGGCGCTGGCTGGCACCTGCTCAGCCGCACAATCATCTGTCAGAGCACAGGTTCAAGTGTTGGAATAAATAGCCCGCCGTGTTAAACAAATGTAGAGAGTCGTGTCTTTTTTTTTTTTTTGCATCAGATCAGATTATTTGGAAAGTCACAAAAAAAATGCAGCTCAAATGCTGAAAAAAAAAAAATGTTTGAGGGAATGAGATTTTTAAAAAGAGCTTAAAAACTGTAGCTCAAATTATTTAAAACTACATTTAAAGCAGCATAAAGTTCACCTTAAAAAATCTAGAGGTCGTGGCCCATATGTGCAGGTTTTTGTCTCTTTTGCAGTCTTCTGATTTTTACGGGATGGAGGACATCTGCAGGCGCTTCCCGAAGTGTCCAAAAGGTGGCGCATGAGACACGTCCAACGCACATCTCAGTCCGGCGGTGAAAGCAAAGTCCGCTCCTTAAAGAGGCTGCACTTCGAGCAGATAGCACCTCTGAATCATCATGCATGGATCTGAAAACACAGTGTCAGATTGTTAGAGGACAATCTCACCACACAAAGTGGTTTCGGTGTGTGTGAGAGTTGGTGATGTGCTTCAGATCTGCGTGAATGTCAGGAGGAGCTCAAGTTCAAAGTGTCCGCACAAGTACAGAAAAAGTTTCTCATAAAGGTAGGTCTTCTAATTCTTTCTTGCTTTGACTCTTTGTTTTTTTTCCTTTAGGGAAATCTCAACAGGAAATGTCCATTCTCACACACCACACACTGCTGGGGAAAAAAAAAAGATTTATTCCAAAAGAGAAATTAATTTGTGCGTAATTACGCGCCTGACGCACGGAGGAGCACCGTGGAGAGCTGTGATGGTGCGTTTTCCTAAAACAAAAAGAAAAGTCAGGCGCACAAGAGTGTGAGCTGATGCGATGTTGTGGTTCAGTTGTGTATTCTCTCTCTCTCTCTCTCTCTCTCCTGTCGTTCTCTACCTCCCTCTCTCCCTCTCTCTCTCCTTCTCCTCCCTCTTTTAGCTCTATGTCACTCTGCAGTTAACAATCAGAATTTTCTCCTGCTGTCTCCTCTCTTTGTAAGTAACTTTTCTCTTTTCTATTCCGTGACACTTCGGGCATGTTGACTAACGGGGTTTGTGTCGGTTTTTTTTTTATTTTTTTTTTTTTTTGTTTTTCCCAAAAAAAATCCTGCTGCTGATTTATAGATTACAACTTTCCTGTCAGTCGCCTCCTTCCTGTTTGGGTTTTTTTTTGTGCGTCTTTTCTGTGATGTTCTAATGAAATTGTCTTTTGTGAGGCATTTGCGGGCCTCCTCCGAGCTCAGCTGATAATCTCAAACATATGCTCAGTGAGAACAGATAAATGGCTCTTTGTGAAAGCTTCTGCTGTGGCCACTGATCGCAACCTGTAGGCTGCCTGGGTCAGACCTCTGCTTCACTATCAGATGTCAGAAGGCTTTTCTCGGCTCTGGTGTCAAACACAGCGTCGGATTAATTCAAATTAAACAAACGAGATAATAAATATAACGGGCTGAAGCAACATATTTATATTTTGTTAAAGCTTATTAAAAAAAACACAATCTGTACAATAAAATCTGTAAAAGCTAAAATTAATATTTTCTGGCACACACTTGTCAATATTACATATTTTTCACACCGATAATTTTTACATTTGAAATCGTTGGACACGTTTAAACCGCGTGGATGTGAAACGGACACGTCTGTTTGTTTTTGGCACCTTCTTCAGATGCAATAATTCAAATATCTCACGATAAATAAAAACCACGACAAGAAATCTTGGCACGACGAAATGAAGCTAGAAATGGAATGAAAAATAAAAATAAAATAACTATTTTAAAATCTGGATAAAAGCTGAGAGATGCAGTCAAATGAAATTTACAATTTTGTGAAGAAGAAGCTGCAGATTTACAGGATCTAAATCAGAACTTCTCCTTCTTTTTATTATAACCTACAAAAAATTATCAAAAATCACGGCATGTAAAGTTATTGTGTTTTAATTTAATTTAAGCAAAACAATAAAATAAAAAAATAGATGAGATTAAATAAAACGCGGTGATATGACAGAAGGTGTAAAACAGTCCTGAGCTGCTGTGGATGAGCTGTGTGTGTGATTCTCAAACACTTTGAGTGAAGTTGGAGAGATCAGCGCGTTATTTGTCTGTAAGAACACAAATAAATAAAATAAAATAAACAGAAGTGACACAGGAAGAGTGTGAACGCAGCATCTCGTCCTGAAGTTTGCTGGAAGTGACGCTCATTTAAGTCAGCTTATTAAAGTTAGTAAAAGCGGCCAGTAACAGCCATCCTCCCTGTCTCCACTTTTATTTCACCACATCTCTCTCTCTCTCTCTCTCTCTTTCTCTCTCTCACTCTCTCTCTCTCTCTCTCTCTCCCTCCCTCTCTCTCTCTCTCTCGCATCTCTTGTCTGGGAGGAGGAGGGGGAGTCCTGCCTCTTTGCCTTCCTCAGATCAATGCCCTGGCCACTCACTTTCTGATGTTGCACGACGGGAAATGCTTTGAATACTTGCGACATGGCTGCGCGCATTGATTGCCAAGATTGACAGCAGCTCTAGCCATCGTCTTCTCTTGTCTTGAGTGTAAGAGGGAGAGAGAAAGAAAGAGAGAGAGAGAGGGAGAGAGAGAGAGAGAGACGGGGGAGATAAAGAGCAGATAGACGAACAACAAAAGGTACTTGTAGTTCTTTTTTTTTTTTTTTTTCTCTTTGTGGACAACAGAACTTCGCAGAGAGCGCACGGGATCCCCTCATATGGCCCCGTGCGAGCAGACCTAAGTTTTCGCTCAACAGATAGCTCAGTGATCATTTGCTAGAAAAGTGAAGCCGAGTCCAGTGTTCCTTTACGCACCGGGGGGAGAAAACAGAGGACGCACGGTTACCTTCTGCACGGCTCATATCATCAAGGTAAACACCACGTTTGCTGTACTTTCCTCTCATGTTGTGTTGTCCACATATTTCACCCTCTTCTTGGCGTGTGTTGCTGATTCCCTAAAACGCGCTGTCAGTGAAATGTTCCGGCACCGTGCGCGCAGTTTTTCTTTTCTTCTTCTTCTTGTTGCTTTAAAACAAACATTTCGACCAGTAACTTGCGCGTAAAGCTTCCACGAGTTGCTGGAATTCGTGCCGAGGACTGTCAAACTTTAAATCTCGTCTCATGCGTCGCTTCCACCAAAACAAGCCCAAGTACACGCGAGGAGGACGAGAGTGGCGCGTTCAGGGCTGGACCCGGAGCCTCAGCCCCCGGTCGGCTCAATCCGCCTTTTACTCAACATCGAACTTGATTAGAAGTGAACCCGGCGGGCGGCAGCTCGGAGCAACATCTGAAGGTTTGAAATCTATTTTTTTTTTCCGTGTATTTGGGCGGTGCGGGCGGACAGCAGGCTGCACGGTGCAGCAAAAATAAAATAAAATAAAATAAAAAGCCCAAACCGGACTCCAGAATCTCCCTCACCGTCCAACCAGAGCGGTGGTTCTGAACCAGCGGTGAGATATTCGGAGGTTCGTGGCGGTTTGGGCCATATGCGTGTGTGTTTACATGTCCCGTAACTTTCTGGTGCTGGTGGCAGTTTCACTTGTGTCCACAGAGCGGTACCATTCATTGACAGTGACGCGCGCCCTGGTGGGCTTCCTGTCTCCTGCCTTACGAGCCGGACAAGTTTATTTGAAGCTCGCTCACGTCTCATTATACCTTTTATACATTCCGCTGCTCTTTGCCCTCCGAACTGCCTCCGTCGTCTCCAGATATTTGTCACTTCTCCCTCCTCCTCCTCCTCCTCCTCCGCTCCACGTCCAGAACAACAGCAGAGAAAGTGGAAGCCGGCGCAGCCTGGGAATCCTGCTCGTCCTTAACTTTCTCGGGGGAGGTCAGGGGAATTGACCTCTAAAGAATGCATAAGCCATAAATTAAATTCAACAATCGCAGGGCTTGTCCATTTAGAGGAGATGTACTCCAACAGACAGTTTTCCATTTAAGCTCAAAGCTCTGAAGCTCGGCGCCGAACGACACGCGAGTTCTCCTGTGAAATAAGTGCACATCTGTTTGCTGGGTTTGTTTTCTCGCCTTCTTCTTCTTTTTTTGTGTCAATTTGCTGAAACAAAACTCTTCTTAAAACGAACACCGAGGGCCGAGAATTCCTGCCTGCATGGTTTCAGAGCCTAAAAATAAACTTTGCTCGTTTTTCACTGCACAGAAAACACTTTTATATTTTAATACAAATCGTGTTTAGAAATATCGACGCTGCACAAAGTTCATAATTAATTTTAAAGACTCGTCATAAATGAAGGAAATATCAGTGAGGATCGTGGCAGCGCGCACCTCATTTTTTAAGATGTTTTCCAAAATTAGACGCACTCCCTGTGCGTAAAAAAACCCTCCAGCTCTGTGAAACTGCTGCTACGATAACATTTTAATAAGAAGAGACAACAGTTGAATGAACCTTTTCTTCTATTTTGTACAATTCTGTATTTTTTTCCCAGCTACACAAATAACACACCTGTGGCTAATTAATGAGACCGTAATTATCTCCTTTTTTTCCTTCTTCTTCTTTCCTTTAAAACTCTTCAGACAGATAATTGTCCAGCGTGAAAGGCTAAATCACATTTTCTTTGCGGTGTAAAGTTTTTTTTTTTCTCCTCCTCCGTCCTGTTGGTGTGTTTTGTTTTGGAACAGTTGCTCTTACTGTGGCTGTTAACTCAGGTTTCCCTCATAAGGTAAGGCGGGTTCTGGAGACCAAATGCAAGTCTAAATGGCACATTTATAATTAGACTGCCCATTCAGCACATTGTCCTGATTGCTATACAGGGACACTCGGCTCTTTCTCTCTATAAGAGTTTGTCTCCTGACGGCTGGTGCGGCTCTCAGCGTGTCGCTCAGCGAACAGGAGCGACAGACAGACAGACAGACAGACAGACAGAGGAAGGAGTGAGAAGCGGCATCAGAAGCCTTTCATGCCAACCGCGCTGAGCTTTTTTTTTTTTTAAATATAAATTTTACTGAACATTTTCTCAGTTATTTTTTGGCACCTGAGCATCTCAGTTAATTTCTTTCCTTTTACGCACGTCTTTACGCACAACCTAACATGAGTATTTTAATAATCGGAGGAATGTGGAGAGCAGCTACATGTCTTGGCACAGTCATCCCCTCCAATAATTTCTGCAGTTTTATTGACAGATTTTCTTTTGCAGTAATTTCAGCCGATTTAAACTTGAAACTAAACTAGAAAATAATAATAATAATTTGTTGGTGTGTTCACCAAAGAGCAATAATATATTTATCAGATGTCATAATGACTGGCCTCCAACGTTTTCTGTATTTTCAAGGACTCAGATGTGCAAAAAAAGAGAAAAGACTGAGGAATAAGACAGCATCAGATATCTGCTGATGTGCCAGTCAGCTCAGAGATTTTAGGACTTTCATTTTGGCACGAAGGGAGAACGCCACCTGGCTCACGTGTCTGAACACATCCTGCACTCTGTTCAAGTCCAATGTCTCTCTTTTCTCCTCCACATTATTATCCTTTGCCATCAGAGCTGTATTTGTTTTACTGAGTGGGAGAGAAAATGTTGTGAATGAGTCCAGGTTAAAAAAAAAATAAAAATCTGCTTAGAGTGAATCCCACAAACTGCATTTGTGCTCGTCCTCATCATCCACAGGTAGGGTCTGGGTGAACGCTCTTGTGCCAGCAATTAGTGGGATCAAAGAAAAAGCAGGAGAGAAAGAAGGAGAGGGATGTGGGGAGGGAGAGGACGGGGATGCAGAGAAGAAAATCCACTTTTTTCCACGTCTTGCTCGAGCACATTGATCCCTAATGGTGCTGCTAATGCACGAGCTGAATTTGGACATTTTGGGTTCACAGCAGATTATTTTTTTTTTTTTTCTGGTAATTTTATTGTAAGTTTGACCTCAAAAGAAAAAAAAAACACCAGAGTTTGATCCAGTTGTTGTGATTCTATTTCACTGCTTTAAAAAAAAAAGAGCTGTTATTTGTGCTTAAGCCGCACGGTGATGCAGATGGAAGTGTGTGTGTGTGTGTGTGTGTGTGTGTGGAGGTTTGGTTTTTATGGCCTTGCTCTTCTGCTAGTCGGAGTGTGTTCTCCTGCCAAACCCAATCCTTTAATGACATTACAACCAATCCCAGTTATGATAAGCTGATTTCACGCATGGACACGGAACAAAAAAAAAAAAAAAAGAAAATATTAAAAAATAAGATTCCCATATTGACATATTTATGAGGGAGAGACACAAATAGCAGAGAGGTGCTGCCGTCTGCAGACTGAGCAGAGCTCCCAGCTTTATTAATAGAACTACGTGTAGTTTATTTCACACAAAGTCGGGGTTGTAATGAGGCTGCACCAGTCTTTCCAGACCTTGATAATTTAAAATCTTGTAAAACTGTCATCGTTTTATTATTCTCGTGTGTGAGTGTGTGTGTGTGTGTGTGTGAGCCCCCTTCACGCCTTGGCATGCGTGCCTGCATGAGTGATACTTTCCATCTCCCAGATATTTTGTGAGAATGTCTTCGCTCTCGACACGGATAAACACGACCGTTGATTTTGATCCGAAACGTCAAAAATCCCCCAAAAAAGCCGGCGTGTCTCTGCTGCCCAGACGTCGCTCAGGCTGCACAGCTGGGACTTTACACGTCGCCTTATCTTTCCATACGTGCTGCTTTTTTTTTTGGCTGTTTAGCTCCGAGTGACGGGACGCTGTGGGGAGAGCGAAGCTGTAGAGGGATGGGGGTTCACAGGTACTAGCCTTCCTTCTCTTTGTAGTGATACTGGCTGAGACCTGATGATAAACAAGATGAGAGGAGGTAAACAACAGCAGGCCTGGTAAAGGTAGAGGAGGGGGGCAGCAGAAGGCTGGAGGACCGCAGGAGATAATAAATGTGGCAGCACATGTTGTGACATCTGTCTTTCTAAGTGTTATCTAATTTGCTGTAGAATATTTCAACAATGATCAAAACTGATGGGAATATGCCCGAGCTTCTTTCTTCTTCTTCTTTGGTAATTTGTTCCCCTTCAAACAAGAAGTTTCTGACAAGTTAGCAACACGTCACTAATTAATGTCACTAAATTAATTATTGGAGTTTCTCTGTCTGCGAAATTGTCACTTGTCAAAGAGGAGCTGAATTGAGGGGTCAGCTGAGTCATGAGGAGCAGACGGCGGCGGCGGCGGCGCGATGCCTCCTTCAAGTCACCGCCTTAAACGAAAAGCTGTGACAATGTGGAGGCAGACAGATAGATGGGAGCTTTTACATTTTCAATTTCATCCAGCTCTGGCTGTTAACTCGCCACAATCCCACCGACAGAGATTTTATTATCATTTCTTTTTTAAACATGTTCCTTCCTCCTTTACCTTCCCAGGTTCGGTCTGATTACATGTTTGTTCAGAAACAACCAGCACCTATATGCACGCCAACACTTACTGAGCATCAACAAGGGCAGCGGCAGTTCTCTCTCTCTCTCTTTTTTTTTCCTGCTCTATTAGATCTGTGTGTCCCTCTGGCTGCTGTAAGTGAACAGTATTGCTGACATTAAAGGATTACAGATGAAAAAAAAATCTAAATATGTGTATCATCACAGGAGCTGCATAATTGCACAAGTAACCTAAGTGGCCCATTTTGATCTGTATCATTCACTCTCCCACCGAATATGTTTTTCTCAAAATAATTGGACATTTTCTTTCAGTCCATAGCATAGTTGTGCATAATTAACTTTGACTTCAAAATGCAACAGTCCAGGCTATGGTAAGGAGCCTCTGTTGGTTTTTTTTTTTTTTTTTTTTAAATAAATCACACATTAATATGTAGAATTAATTGGAAGGGCGTTGGTGGCTGCATGTGTCTGACACAGGTCTGGGAGCGTAATCAGGTGGAGGAATTAGTCGGCCTCATTGTTTTTTA